GGCAAAAGTTACGAAATGCGAACACCCATTCACTTACGAGTCTAACCATACTAAAATCATCAAATTCCGATACCATTTCATCCCTCAAATCGTGATTTTTCATTTTGAAAGGTTTCTTCAAAAACCACCCTTTTCCTCAACTCAAAACACAAATTAAATGATAAAAATAAAGATAGAATCATGGAAATAAATAAATTCTAGGTGAAGAACACTTACCCAATCGATTTTCTTGAAAAACCCACAAGAAATCGCTCAAAACCGAGCTCTACAAGTCAAAATGTGATAAAAATGGCCTAACCCTCGATTTGGAAATCTTATATTCTTCCCAGGTGATTGTGCATCGCGAACGCGCAAAAAGTATCGCGTTCGTGAAGAAGAAAAAAAATGAAAGCTGCCCAGTTGTGCTTCGTGAATGCGACAACAAGTCCGCGAATGCGTAGAGGAAAAGTCTGATGGCCCAACGACTGCTCTTCACGAACGCATGAAGCAGTATGCGAACGCGAAGAGTGAAATGGCATAGCTACGCGAACGCGAAGATACGGGTGCGAACACGATTAAGAAAAAGGCAAACCTTCGCGAACGCGAAGAAGAGTTATGAAGTGGTTAGCAGTAACACTTCGCGAACGCGAGAGGCGCTTCGCGATCGCGAAGAAGAACACCAGAAGACAGAAACAACAGTTCAAAAATAGGGAAAAGGACCCGTAGCTCACCCGGAACACACCCGAGTCCCCCGGGACCCCATCTAAACACACAAACAAGTTCTATAACCTAACACGGACTCGTTAGAGGTCTCAAATCACATCAAACAATGCCGAAAATACAAATTGCACCACGAATCGAACTTATGAACTTCCAAAACTTCCAACTTCGAAAACTTGTGCCGAAACCAATCTAAATAACCCGGAATGACGTCAAATTTTGCAGGCAAGTCCCAAATAACATAACAGAGCTATTCTAACTCTCGGAATCGTATTCCGACCATGATATCAAAAAGTCCACTTCCGGTCCAAAACTCCAAAAATTCGACTTTCGCCAATTGAAGCCTAAATCAGCTACAGACCTCAAATTCACAATCCGGACACGCTCCTAAGTTCAAAATCACCCAAGTGAGCTAATGGAACCGACAAAACTCTATTTCGGAGTCGTTTTCACACAGTTCAGATTACAGTCAAAATCCTAAAAGTTAAGCTTTCGTTTTAAGGACCAAGTGTCCCAAATCACTCTGAATCATCCAATAACTGAATTCAATCACGCACACAAGTCAATACACATAATACGAAGTTGCTAAGGGCCTTATGCCACCGAACGGACTTAAATTCTTAAAATGACAAGTAGGGTCGTTACATATCCTCGATATCTTTGATCTTGTTGGGGTTGATCTCTATTCCTCGATTGGATACCATGAATTCGAGAAATTTTCCTGACCCGACCCCGAATGCGTATTTGTCCGCGTTCAACTTCATGTTGTATTTCCTCAATATACTGAAGGTTTCCTGCAAATGTTTTAAATGGTCCTCTGTTCGCAGGGACTTAATTAACATATCATAAATGTAAACTTCCATAGATTTCCCTATTTGTTCTTCGAACATCCGATTTACTAGGCATTGTTAAGTGGCACCGGCATTTTTTAGTCCAAATGGCATTACGTTATAGCAGTAGGTACCATATTTAGTGATGAACGAGGTCTTTTCCTGATCATCCGGGTTCATTTGTATTTAGTTGTACCAGGAATAGGCATCGAGAAAACTGAGGGGTCTTGTGGTCGGCCGTGTGCGATCGATATTAGGCAAGGGAAAAGAATCCTTGGGGCATGCTTTATTTAAATCTTTGTAATCTACATACATCCTAAGTTTGTTCCCTTTCTTAGGGACTACTACTATGTTTGCTAACCATTCGGGGTATTTTACTTCCCAGATGAACCCTATTTTAAGAAGCTTGGTTACCTCATCTTCGATGAAGGCATGCTTGATCTCGGACTGAGGTCTCATTTTCTGCTTCACCGAATGGAACTTCAGTTCCAAGCTTAGTTTATGGGTGGTGATTTTCGGTGGGATCCCTATTATGTCGAGATGGGACCAAGCAAAACAATCCATGTTAGCTATATGAAATTGAATAAGTTTTTTCCTGAGCTCGGGAGTTAACCCCGTGCCCAGGTATACCTTTTGTTCGAGCAGATGTTCGATTAGTATGACTTGATTCAGCTCTTCGACCATTGATTTGGTAGCGTCGGAGTCATCGGGGACTATGAAGGATCGAGGGATCCCATAATTATCATCTTCGCCAGTCCCCTACTTCTCTAGTTTGGTCGAGGCCTACGTCTGTGATTGCTATTTGGCCTCCTATTTTCCTTCGAATTTGACCCCTTCGTCGATGAGAGTGCCGATACTGGAATCACTTCGTTAATGGAAAACATTTCCATTGCGGCGGGTTTCTCCCCGTAAATATTTTTGATTCTCTCTAGTGTCGGGAATTTTAGAACCTGGTGAAGGGTCGAGGGCACTGCCCTCATGTTGTGGATCCATGGTCTCCCGAACAGGGCGTTATACCTCATATCGCCCTTGATCACATGGAACTTGGTCTCCTGGATGGTCCCGACCACGTTCACTAGCAAAGATGTTTTGCCCTTAGTAGTCTAACAAGCCATGTTGAATTCGTTTAGCACTCGGACTGCGAGCACAACTTGGTCCTGTAGGCCGAGCTATTCTACGACCCTTGATCGAACGATGTTGGCCGAACTAACTGGATCAATTAACACACGTTTAAATCGAGTCTTATTTATGAGTACAGATATTACCAGTGCATCGTTATGGGGTTTCATGATTCCTTCTGCGTCCTTGTCGTTGAAAGACAAGGTTCCTTCTGGTACATAATCCCGAGTTCGTTTCTCCCTTGTGTTTTAACACTGGCCCTTGGGGAACATCGACCCCTCCGACAATCATGTGAATGACGTGTTGAGATTCTTCTTGTTCATTTTGTTTGTTGGAATCTCTGTCTCTAAAATGATTCTTAGCTCGATCACTCAGAAACTCCCGAAGGTGCCCGTCGTTGAATAACCGGGCTACTTCTTCTCTCAACTGTCTACAATCTTTCATTCTATGGATATGGGTGCCATGATATTTATACATTTGATTGAGATTTCTCTGTGCTGGATCAGTCTACAGAGGTCGAAGCTATTTAGTATCTTTGATGCGTCCAATAGCCGATATGATGGCGGCTGCGTCAACATTGAAGTTATATTTTGACAATCGTGGTGCTTCTTTAGGTCCGGTATGCCCGTCGAAGCCATTCTTGCTCATGAGCCCTCAAGAGCTCTGACCTCGGTCATATCTCCTCTCACTTCGTACAGGGTTTTGCCTAGATTCGTTGTTCCTACGATCTCCATTATATGGCTGGTATCGATCCCTGTTCAACCTTGGTTCTCGATCAATGTCCCTCTTGATTCTGTCGATATGCCTGATAGGATAAATGGACCCGGAAGGAGCCCCCAGCTAGTCATCTTCGACTCTAATATTTGATTGATACCGATTATGTACATCAGCCCAGGTAACAGCCGGGTATTCAATCAAGTTTTGCTTCAACTGTTGTGAAGCCACTGAGCTTCGTACATTGAGTCCTTGAGTGAAAGCTTAAACGGCCCAATCATCGGCGACCGGTGATAGTTCCATTCGTTCCATTTGGAACCGAGACACAAACTCTCTAAGCATCTCGTTATCTTTCTGTCTTACCTTGAAAAAGTCTGACTTCCTAGTCTCGGCCTTTATGTCTCCGGCATGTGCCTTTACAAAGGAATCTGCAAGCATAGCAAAAGAATCAATAGAGTTAGGTGGTAAATTGTGGTACCATATCATAGCTCCCTCTGACAGGGTCTCATTGAATTTCTCTAGTAACACGGATTCGATCTCGTCGTCCTCTAGATCATTCCCTTTAATTGCACATGTGTAAGAGGTGACATGCTCGTTTGGGTCAGTTGTTCCATTATATTTAGGAATCTCGGGCATGCAAAACTTCTTGGCGATCAGTTTGGGAGTCGCGCTCCTGGGGACGGGCTTTTGTACAAACTTTTTGGAATCCAAACCCTTCAATATTGGTGGTGCCCTTGGGATTTGATAAACTCTGGAGTTATAGGTTTCCACCTTCATGTCGTTTGCTTCGATCTTCTTTTCCCCCGACTCAACTCGTTTTGTTAGTTCTTTGAGCATCTTTATGATTGCGGGATCGGTCCCTGATTCATTACCATTCGATTTCCTTGACACCTATTCGACCATGTGAACAACTTCCTGGGACGGCTCGGGCTCGATCCTGCTTGGTGCATGATTCTGGTTTTGGAGCTGGGCTATCGCAGCTTGTTGAGCCAACAACATCTCGAAGATCACTCGAAGGCTGATTCCGCCTTCTTCGCCGCCATGTGCGCTCTGAGCGTCCGATCGAACATCCCTACGGACGCTACTCTCGGGATCGATGACCAAATTTGCATTGACGGCTACATGCGAGCTGACGTCGATTAGATCTACAGGCGGAACGCCATCGAGGCCAATTGGAGGTACGTTGTTCCCTGGTGCTATGTTGTCATTTTCGTCATGGTGGCCGAAGTCATTGTCCACGTGTACGGGTGTTGCATGAGAGTTTGACATTTTGATCCTGGAATTAAAGATACTCACAAGAACAAGTGAAAAATAGTGTGTGTTATGAAAGTTAGTACCAGGCAATCACTATTATCCTTATCCCCATGGTGGGCGCCAAACTGTCTACCCTAAAACGGATTACAATTGAATTTATATGCGGTTTTAAGGATACGTGATATAACTTGGCACAAATTAAGAGAATATATTAATATTGAATTTGACGATACAAGAAATAAATACAAACCAAACGAATCGAATATCCTTGGCACTCGAGTTAGATCACATTTGAACCAAGAGAAGTTTCAACTTGATATAAGAACAGAGTAACAAGATAATGAAAGCTAGAAAAAGACAATGTATTGCTTTGTGTTGCGTAAAAGTGCCCCCTTTACAAATGATCATACCCTCTTTATATAGTAGGGGAGTCCTACTATTGATACAGTTCTAAATGAAGCAAGAAATCTCTTGATTGGCTAATTAATCGGCCTATCCTTGATACATGCCAAGATTTTTGCCGTGATCTACGCTCGATCGCGGATATTTCATGTTTCTGTTATCCGACTCAGCAAGTTTCTCTCGATCTCGCCTGATCTCGACTTTGTTCGGTCCCGGGGTCTCGAACTTGGCAATATAACTTCACATCTCGGTTTGATATGACTCGAGGTCGGACTTTAATCTATCATATTCTAGTCTCGATTAGTCAAGCAAAGAACGAGCCCGATTTTGGCCGTATACAATGACCTTATGTGAATAACTGGTAGAGGAGAAAGTTTACTGCCAACAACAAAATAAATCATAAAATAATAGATCATAGAATAATGGAAGAAAAACAAGTGAAATCACAACCATCAAAGAATCTAAGCTTATGGGTTAGGTGACTCGATGTACTAAAGCACTTTCCAGATTTTAGCTTGCCAACAAACGCTTTATGACAGACCATATTCAGGTTAATAGCACCTTAAAATAACATGATAGGTGCTAACTAAGTAAAGTTGGAAATACTACAACTGTAGGCATTGATTTTGGTGCATTTAAGAATCAAGAATTTCTAGCAGATCCTAAATTTAGTGATATTGGTGAATGCCCATTAAACATCATTAGTCAATCTCACTAAGAAAATCTTTGTGTCACCATCCAAAATTCACTATAGGTCGTGATGGCGCCTAATGCCGCCGTCAGGCAAGCCAACAAAAATTTACCAATTTAATTACTCATTTTAGAAATTTGAATTCAAAATTTTTTCTTAATTAGACAGTATAAAAATAGAATTTATAGAGTAAATGAAAATATTTACACGAACCACAATAATGAATAACCTGAAAGCACCCTCAAAACCCGATATCACAAGTGCATTGACATCAACTAGGGAATATGATAAAATACAACATCTGTCTAGAATACAAATTAGACAGGAGTATGTAAATAACTCTTATGGAGACTCTATATGCTGCAGATTCATAACATGGAATGCAGCTCACCGTAAGTCCCCGCAATAGTCGCGCTTCTGTGCCCAAAAGGCCACTAGACATATATATACATACATAAAATGTGCAGCAAGTGTAGTATGGGTACGTAAATCAACGCGTACCCAGTAAGTATCAAGTCTAACCTAGAAGAAGTAGTGACGAGAAGTCGACATCGATAAATAATGAATAACATATAAAATACCGGGCATCAGTGGAAAGATTTGCTCGCGAACATTCGGACTACTAACGATATAATGCACAATTCTGCCGAGGTCGTTCAGCCCGATCTAGAATAATGTGTACACTGCCGAGGGTTGAGCGGCACAATCATAGATGCATCTATACTGCCAAGGTGTTCGGCTCTCTCCACAAGAAAGGAGCACACTTTATGAACCTCCGGAATGAGAAGCTATCACAAGGCTAACACGTAAGGATGTACAATTTCTATTATCGGTCGAGTAACTCGCACAAAATTCAAGTACGTGAAATTTCGGTCTTTTACTATTTCCTCTAACAACTTTCAATATGATTCAGGTACTTCAATTAACAAAGAATGCAAACATTATAAGTAATTCATGATTTGGGTCCTAAACTATCCGGACATACGCATAATTAGTAGCTACGCACGGACTCCCGTCACCTCGTACGTACGTAGACCCCCAACAATTAGAAGCAGATATTAATTTAAATCACCTATGGGGTAAAGTTTCACTTACAAGGTTAGACAAGAGACTTACTTCGCTCTGTAGTTCCATAGCCAGCTCCAGCACCACTCTAACATCTCAAACCAATGCTTGTTGATCCAAAACTATGCATACAATGTTCAAACCAATCAAAATGAGTTCAAATACCCATAATTAATCAATTTAAATAATTTTCAACTCCGCTCGAAAAGTCGATAAAATCCACCCTCGGGCCCACGTGCCGGGATTTCGAAATTTTTTGAAGATAAACTTTACCTATAACACTACAAACTCAAATATATGATTTATTCCCAATTCCATGTCCGAAATCGCGGTAAGAATCCAAAAATACCAAATTCTAGGTTTTCTACCAAAATTCCAAAATTCTACCAATTTTCATGTTTAAATCCATATATAAACCTTGTATTCAACTCACAATATGAAGAAACCACTTATCTAGTGATGGATGACGAAAAAGATCCTCCAAAATCGCCTCAAGCTTGGCATCCATGGAGGATTTGAGATAAAAATATGTAAAATCCCGTCTTTGCAACTTATACACTGCCCAGTCCGCCACCTTCTTCGCGTTTGCGAAGGCCAAATGCCACTGCCCCAAAATTCCTCTATGCGCGCGACCTCCTCGTCGCGTTCGCGAAGTCTCAGACCCCTGCCCCTTCGCGTTCAGGATCCACGAGCCGCGTTCGCGAAGACCAAACTGCTCCAGGCCCAGCTCCCCCATTTCCTTCTATGCATTCGCAATCGCCCTCTCGCATTCGCGTAGGTTCCCCATGCCCTTCTCCGCGTTCGCGACTTCTGTGTCGTGTTCGCGATGAGTAAAATCAGCAGCCCAAAAATCCTTTTTCGTTAACGCGAGACTCCCTTCGAGTTCGCGAAGGACAAAGCCAGAACCAGTAACAGCAACAACCAAAGCAGCCAAAATTGGTCCGAAACTACCCCAAAATACACCTGATGCCCTCGGGACCCCGTCCAATCATACCAACCAGTTCCAATACATAACGCAAACCTGATCGGGGACTCAAATCACATCGAACAACATCGAAATCACGAATCGAACCCCAACTCAAGCTTAATAAATTTTAGAACTTCAAACTTCTACATAGACACTAAAATCTATCAAAATCAAGTCCGATTGACCTCAAATTTTGGACACAGGTCATAATTGACATTACGGACCTACTCCCTCTTCCGTAATTGGAATACGACCCTGATATCAAAAAGTCCACTATCAGTCAAACTTCCCAAAAATCATCAAATTTCCAACTTTCGCCAATTGACGCCGAAATGACTACGGACCTCCAAATCAATATTCAGACACGCTCCCAAGACCAAAATTACCATACGGAACTATTTCCAGGCTCGGAATCCCCAACGGATATCGATAACATCAAAATCCACTTCAACTCAAACTTAGGAAATTCTTAAACCTTCAAAATGCCAACCTTCTGTAATAAGCGACGAAACACTTCCGGGCCACCCGATACTCGACCCGAACATACGCCCAAGTCCAAAATCATCATACGAACCTATTGGAACCTTGAATTCCAGATTCCGAGGTCGTTTACTAAAAATCCAAACCTTAGTCAATTTTCCAACTTAGAGCTTCCGAATTTTGAATTTTCTTTCAAAATCAACTCCGAACTTCCCGAAGTTCGATTCTGACCACACGCACAAGTCGTAATACCTGAAGTGAAGCTACTCAAGGCCTCAAACTGTCGAACGATGTGCTAGAACTCGAAACGACCGGTCGAATCGTTACACTATGGGTTTATGATAAACTAACAGATAACAACACAAAAAATTATTAAAATGGAAGGAAGTTAGTAGCTAAAAATGACAATGCCCAAAGAGACGGGGACCATGCTCTTATCAAAGCAACCATCAACAAAGTAGGTAATCGACATGCAGAATTTTCATATTACCTTTTGTCCACTTCACAAACATAAAAGTCCAAAGTTCAGTTCCACGCTACATTATTCTTCATGTCATCTCACTACAAATCATAAACTCGTTGATAGCAAGCTGATTAAATCAAAATTAAAAAAATGAGATAATGAGAAAAACATATTGTATTTTTTGAGTAAGAACACATATGTATCATAATTCCACAGAAATCCGACATAGAAAATAATTAAAATAACAATCTGTACCAAAAATCCAAAACTAATGTATAAAAAGCTTAAAACTTTTCATTTAAAATGGCAAATTGGAATACGAAAAATCCCATAAACTTTTTACAATAGGGATGATATATTAACGTCATGAAGTTGAAATTGTATGTAATTTCACAAACAGTTGCAACCAACAATTTACTCAATTTGAACAAAAGAAAGAAAAATTAAAAAGTCATAAACTGAGTAGCAGAGAAAAGATTCAAAAGACAGAGGAAAGTCGGAGAGGAATTGAGTAGGTAGGAAAAACTGGATTAAGAACAATGTAGAAGCGTTCTTTTTTAGGAATATACGCGTAAGAACTGTGAAAAATAATGTATTTCATAAGAAAGAATCACGAAATCCGGAGTCTTACATTATTGTAGTATTTTCTCTAAACAGCTTTACCCAGACATTTTTACTGCAATTCCGTAGAACTTTTCTAACCAATATGCTTTGAACAGAGGAAAATACAATAAAGCTGAAAGAAGAATTTTATCAAACACCTACGGGACAAAGAGGGTAAAGGTAAGAGCACAGAGGAAAACCTGGAGAAGAAGAACAACAGAGAGCTTGGTATTAAACAGAAGCAGAAATGCAACGGAGATAGAATTGAGATGTAAGAAAATTTGAAGTGGTGCTTTCTACCTGGCAAATTAGGGTGAATATGTCAGGAGCACAAGAAATGACAAAAGTGCCTTCACGACGAAGCAGACATATTGACCATCACGTGCCTGCTTATCCTCTCATACTACTAGATGAGGAAAGGCCCGTATACGAGCCAAATATTGCAATTTATTTGGAAATTTATGAGTTATGTCCATTTATAAGTAGCTTATTATAAAAATTGATTAATTCATTAAATATTATTAATATTAGCCAAATGCTACCAAATAATTATTTGTAGCCAAAAAATATTAAATTTTGCTTTCTTTTGAGTGGATGTTATTTAGAATATATTGAGTACATCTTAAGGAGTTTGAATCTCAATTTTGGGATGATTTGATGGAGTTTTGAGGTGGTTTGAATTGAAAATTCGAAATAGAAGATGAACTACGATAAAAATGAGATGTGTATCATAATGAGATGAACTACGGATCAGTGTTTTGACAGTTTTGGTAGCTCCGTATCGTGATTTGAGACTTGGGCGTATGCCCGAAAGTTAATTTGGAGGTCCCTAACTCAAATTATGACCATTTAACAGAACTAGCAATTTAAAGGCTAAAGATTCCAAGTTTGACCGCGGGGTTGACTTTTTGATATCGGAGCCAGAATCCGATTCTGAAAATTTGAACAGCTCTGTTATGTTATTTATGACTTGTGTGTCAAATTTGAAGTCATTCCGGATTCATTTAATATGTTTTGGCACGAGGTTTGCAAATTGAAAAGTTTAAAAAACTCAAAGTCTGAATCGAGGTGTGAATTGCAATTTCGATGTTATTTGATGTGATTTGAGACCCCGAGTAAGTCAGTATGATGTTACGGGACTTGTTGGGATATTTGGATAAGGTCCCGAGGGACTCGGGTGAGTTTTGGATAGGCCACAGAATGTTTTGAACTTAGAAAATTTTGCTGGTATAACTGAACCTGTTGTAGGCCTCTGATCTCGCAATTGCGAGATCAGGCATCGCAAATGCGAACCAAGCAGGTGTGACAATTGCGAGATTTTTATCGCAATTGCGAAGAAAGCCTAGGCCAGCAGTTCTCGCAATTGCGAGTTTATCTTCGCAATTGCGAAGGGCCAATTGTCGCAAATGCGACATAATCTTCACATTTGCGAAGGCAGCAGGATTATGAAGGGCATCGCAATTGCGAGTGTTTCTTCGCATTTGCAAAGCTCAGGTCGCATTTGCGACACCTGCAGCTTAACAAAATGACTTTTGGACGGGATTTTTGTTTCATTTCCCAAATCTTCAAAACCTAAAACCTCAAAAGGCGATTTTGGACGATTTTCACAGAAAAACATCGGGGTAAGTGTTCCTTATCCTATATTGATATATTTTATGATTTCATAATCATTTATATCATGAATCCGTGAATTTATGGAAGAAAAATCAGATTTTTCTAAAATCTTTCAAAAACGAAAATTTAAGATTTGAAGGTTCATTTGATATCGAAATTGGATAATTTTTGTATGGTTGGACTCGACTCAAAATGGGTGTTCGGATTTCGTAAGTTTTTTCGAGATTTGAGACGTGGGTCCCACTGCCGAATATTTTAATGAATTTCGGATTTTATTCGGAAAATTAGTAAATTCCTATGGAATTAATTCCTATGATTAGTATTGAATATATCGAATTATTTGTGAATAGATTTGAAGCTTTCGGAGACAAATTTAAAAGGAAAAGTTGTGGTTGAGTAATTGATTGGAATTTGCATAAGCGAGGTAAGTGTCGGGGTTAACCTTGACTTGAGGGAATAAAACCCTTAAATTATTTGTTATGTGAATTGCATGTGAACAACTTATAGGCGAGGTGACGAGTGTCTATACGTCGTCAAATTAATTATTTGCCTGCTTACTTGAAAAATCATAAATTATTTTAAATCATAAATTAATTATTATAATAATTGTTTCTCTCCTATTCTTTGTTAAATATTAATTCTTGAATTTCTGCATTAATTGTTACATGCTATTTGAATTATGTGTTTTAATTGTTATTTGACATTTAGGATATTAAATATTAAACTGCCTATTTTCTCCATGATTTCCATAATAATTTGCTATTTGTCATTGTTTGTTTCAAGATTAAATCATAATTATTGTATGCTTGTTGTCTTATAATTTTATATTAATTGTTACACTTATTGGAAAAAATATTTCTGTAAGAATTGGTAAATGAATGTGTTGGAGGAGCGGGTTGCACGCCGCAACAGGATTGATTATAATGAATATATTGGAAGATCGGGTTGCACACCGCAACAGACTTATTAAAAGTCCATATTGGAGGATCAGGTTGCACGCCGCAACAAACTTATTAAAAGTCCATATTCGAGGATCGGGTTGCACGCCACGACAGATTTATTAAAAGTCCATATTGGAGGATCGGATTGCACGCCGCAACAGACTTATTAAAAGTCCATATTGGAGGATCGGGTTGCACGCCGCAACAAACTTATTAAAAGTCCATATTGGAGGATCGGGTTGCACGCTGCAACAGACTTATTTAAAAGTCGACATACATATATATACATATTGGGGGATCGGTTTGCACGCCGCAACAGACTTGATTAAAATGAATATATTGGAGGAGCGGGTTGCACGCCGCAACAGAACCGAATGTGAATATATTATGTGAGCGGGTTGCACGCTGCAGCAGAATTGAATGTGAATATACTGTGAGAGCGAGTTGCACGCTGTAACAGAATTAAATGTAAATATATTGTGAGAGCGGGTTGCATTCTGCAACAGAATTGATGGAAATAATAATTGGTTATGACTGCTGAGTCGGCTTCAATTATTATAAATAAGTTACCTGATTTATTTCTATTATTGTTGTTGTTACTAATATTGCGTACATATAATGTAAGTGACCCGCCTTAGCCTCATCACTACTTCGTCGAGGTTAGGCTCAACACTTACCAGTACATAGGGTCGGTTGTACTGATACTACACTCTGCACTTCTTGTGCAGATTTTGGAGTGGGTCCCAGCGACATACCGTAGACTTGCTCGGATTTCATCTACCAGAGCAGACTTGAGGTATAACTGCATGGCGTCCGCAGTTCTGAAGTCCCCATCTATTTTACTTAGCTGTGTATTTATTTCCAGAAGGAGAGAGAGTGAGGAGGTTTATTGAGGGACTAACTCACTCTATCAGACTTCAGATGGCCAAGGAGACCGGAAGTGAGATTTCTTTTCAGGCGGCTGCTAATGTCGCAAGGAGGATCGAGATGGTTTTTGCACAGGAAAGAGGGCAGAAGTCCGATAAGAGGCCTCGTCAATTTGGTAGTTTCAGTGGTGCCTCGTCTGGAGGCAGGGGTAATTTTGGTAGGGGTCATCCTCCCAGACCATTTCATTCAACACTTCATGTATCTCCCGGTGCTTCAGGGAGTCACAGTCCTATTATGCCTTACTCTGGGCAGCTAGTATTCAGTGCACATTCAGCTCCTATCATTGCATCACCACTCCAGAGTTATTACAGCGGTTATCCGGCCCATTTGGGTCAGCTTCAGTAGCCACGGCATCAGGATGTGTGTTATGAGTATGGGAACATTGGTCACATCAGGAGGTATTGCCCTAGATTGGCGAGTAACAGATCTCGGCAAGATTCTCGTGCTATCATACCGGCACCGGTTGCTTCACCGCGTGCTCAACCGGCTAGAGGTAGGGGACAGGTAGCTAGAGGTGGAGGTCAGGTCATTAGAGGTGGAGGTCGGGCCATTAGAGGTGGAGGCCAGCCAGTCAGAGGCCGTCCCAGGGACGCAGTTCAAAGTGGTGGGGCCCAACCCCTATTTTATGCTTTTCCAGCTAGGCCTAAGGCCGAGTTATCTGATGCGATGATCACAGGTATTATTCCAGTTTGCCATAGAGATGCTTCAGTTCTATTTGATCCAGGATCTACTTATTCATATGTGTCCTCCTACTTTGCTTCATATTTGGTTGTGCCTTGTGATTCTCTGAGTGCTTCTGTGTGTGTATCTACACCGGTGGGAGACTCTGTTGTAGTAGATCATGTCTATCGTTTGTGTATGGTTACTATTGGTAATCTGCACCAGTATTATTTGTAAAGAAGAAAGATGGTTCTATGCAGATGTGTATAGACTATTGACAGTTGAACAAGGCCACTATCAAAAAAAAATATCCGCTGCCAAGAATTGATGACTTATTTGATCAGTTTCAGGGTGCTAAGGTATTTTCGAAGATCGATTTGAGGTCTGGTTACCATCAGTCGAAGATTAGGGCAACTGATGTCCCTAAAATGGCTTTTCGAACTCGGTATGGGCATTACGAATTCCTAGTGATGTCATTTGGGTTGACAAATGCCCCAGCGGCATGTATGGATTTGATGAATCGGGTGTTCAAGCCTTATTTGGACTCTTTTGTGGTTGTATTCATTGATCATATCTTAATTTACTCCAGCAGTCGAGATGAGCATGAGCAGAATCTTCGAAGTATGCTTCACACCTTGAAGAATAATCAGTTATATGCCAAGTTTTCAAAATGTGAGTTTTAGTTAGACTCAGTTGCCTTTTGGGGGCATGTTGTATCGGCAGAAGGCATAAAGGTGGATCCTAAGAAGATTGAGGTTGTTCAGAATTGGCCTAGACCTACTTCAGTTACAGAGATCCGGAGTTTCCTGGGTTTAGCAGGTTATTATCGTCGGTTCGTGGAAGGGTTTTCATCTATAGCAAACCCATTGACCAGATTGACCCAGAAAGGTGTCCCATCCAGATGGTCAGACGAGTGTGAGATGAGCTTTCAGAAGCTCAAGACCTCTTTGACTACGACACCAGTGTTGATATTACCCACAGGTTCAGGATCGTATACGGTATATTGTGACGCATCTCACATTGGGCTTGGTATAGTATTAATGCAAGATGGCAAGGTAATTGCATATGCGTCGCGGCAGTTGAAAGTTCACGAGAAAAATTATCTTGTTCATGACTTAGAATTGACAGCAATTGTTCATGCGCTGAAGATTTGGAGTCATTACCTCTACGGTGTCTCGTGTGAGGTATTTATTGATCATCGTAGCCTTCAGTATCTGTTCAAACAAAAAAAATCTTAATTTGAGGCAGAAAAG